ATTTGGAAATTACGATTAAAAAAGTTAAATTCGGACTTAGAGTCGGGAAATGACTTTTGGGCTATGTCCATCAATAATGAAATGAATTATAAGAACTCTTGAAATTAAAATAATGACCATGACTTAAATAATTCATTTATTTATTATTCTATACATAAGGCCACTTCTAGTTAATTAATTGGTTAACGTCAATATTTTGGCTTCAGGCGCAGGGAGGGGAGGGGAAACTTAAACACATATATGCTATGAAGTATTCAATCAATCCTTATTGGTCAGATTTAATCACATGATTATTGATTAATTATATACTGCCAAATAACAGTACTTATTGTATGGGTCTTATGTGACAACCCGTGCTTTTTTTATTTGGTTATTGTACAGGATTGTTATGTCAGACACCGTGCAGTAAAATAGTTATTATATGGGTATATGAATAACCCAATTACACACACAGGTTCATATTTAAATCCGTGCCTTCGGCACAGAATATGAACTCGTGTGTAACTGGGTTATTCATATAACTATAATTTAGCTTCATAAATTATTTTTATGCTTATTTTACGAAAAAAGAGTAAAATTAAATAGTAAGATGATTATACCCTGATTATAACTGTTATTCTTATATATCTTTATATCACTTATACTTAGTATACTATATATACCATATTGGCAATATAAGCATTGTTCTATTTTCATGTTTCCCGGAGATTATTTTATTCTGTGTATCAAGGATCACATTTCTAAGCTAACAATGTATAATGCGAGGGGTTTACTGTCAAGGAGTATTTAATGATGATTTATAAGACGATTCACAGTAATTCTATCATTTTATTTACGATTTTTTTAAAAAAATAATTGATATCACTATGGACATTATTTTGAGATAAATAAAAAATTTAACTATTTCTTGTATAAAAAGTAAACAAACAAAAAATGCCTCAGAACTTGATTTAGTGCTAAGTAAACCTTCCTTTGAGCTTAACAAAAGTTGTTATTTAGAACAACTTTTGTTAAGCTCAAAGGAAGGTTTATTTAGCACTAAATCTAGTGATGTGGTGGACAATAATTAATTTAAAAAAAAAGAAGGTTCAAGGAAAAGAAGTTGGGTATGGGACCATTATACGATCTCGTCTACTAAATACAGATCAAAAGGCCAGTGTAATAAATTGACAAAAAAAGGCACAATATGTAATCATATTATTGAAACAGATAGTAGTAGTGTTATAAAATATTAATAAAATACATATATTCTGATTGCGGTAAGCTTTTTTATAATAATTCTTATAGTAAAAATTTGTTCAGTTTGACAAAAATTTTTTATTTAGATTGTTTGTTATAAAAAATCCATTCAACAAATTTATCCCAAAATTCGCAGATATTCGAAAAATAGACTAAATGGATATCTGTTATCCACTGGATCCAAGCTTTACTTTAAACTGAATTAATAAGTTACCTAAATTTTTCTATTGGTCTGGATAATGGAACTGAATATTGAACAGATAATATAAATAATCTGTGGGTTTCTTTAAACTGATGAAAATATACTATGTTAAATAAAAAATCTGCTTGAATTGGTCTAACTTAGAAATATAAAAACTATTAATTTATTAGCAATATCTAAATCTTTGCCTTTGCTAAAATAGAGTTTTTATATCTTGAATCAAGTTAAGCTAGTTTAATTTTTCCAATTGTCCAGTATTTTTTTTGTATTATTTTTATTATTATAATTACTTTTAAAAACTTCTCCAAAAAGTTTATAAGCTTCATTTAAATTTTTATCAATTCCATGCCCATTCAAAAAATGAATTGCCAAAAAATATTTCGCATCATATGCTAATACTGTTTCATCCATTTTATATGCATATGCAACAGACTGAAAAGAACAGTAAAACTGTTTGTAATCTTCTTCACTAAAGGCTTTGATAGCAGAGCTATATAGTCTTTTGTACTTTTCTTCATGAGAAGGCACCTTTTTTTTGGGGTTTTTTTTTATTAACATTTTTCAGAATGATAAGTTAAAATAAGTTTTCTTTTATACAGTATCACATATATTTATTTAAAACATAAATTCAATTGATCAATTGTTGATTATTTTTATTGTTACAATTAAATGAATAAATTTTCATTCGGAAGAATATAGCAATTGACTGGTTTCTTGGTAGATTACACTTTAGGGTTCGAGAAATGTGTAGAATATTTTGCATACTGTTAACTTTATATATAATAATCTATGTTTTTTATTCTATTGGCTTCTATTCACTTTTTCATTTTTCTATTGCAAATTTCAGTATTAAATTTTACTAATTAAATATAAATTTACTAATGGTCTAACAATATATAAGGAAGAGTCAACAGAAAGTCAATAGAAATCGAGCAAATTTTTTATAATAAAATTTTTTTATAACTTTAAACAAGAATAACTTAACAAAAACCCAAATTTAATAAAACTAACTGTTTTAAATAATTTTTATAAACTTGTAAAATTAATTTAAAAAAATTTATATTAAATTTGATTAAGTTTTTTTAAGCTATCTTTGTTTAAAGTTAAAAAATATTTGCTTGATTTCTATTGACTCAACCCATATATTTAAATAATTGCAAATCAGCAAATTATTATTAAAAAATTTTTTTTATATAAAGACAATTCGATGTTAAATAAAATTCAAATAATAACAAACAATTCTTGTAATTTTAATTTCTATTGCAATTAAAAACTTTAGAGAACAAATTCATAATTAATTTGATCAAATAATTTCAAATATTTGACTCAAGTTCAAATTTGATTTGATTTTGCAGAGTACTAGAGACATTTAAATTAAATTGTTCTAATTTATTATTATTTTATTAGTTAGCAAAATTGAAATTTTTTAAATAGTAAAAAAAAACTTAATGTAAATTTCAGTTGTTATAATTGCACTAATAAATATTATGATTGTTGAATAAGATATAATTGAGTTTGCATAATCTGAGTGTTTAAACAAAGATTATTATATGTAATAAATCGCAAACCTGGTAAGTGTAAAAATGTAATTTTGCGTAATACAACCCTAACTGTATCTTACAAACTAATAGTGGTAACTCCATTTCAGAATTTAAACTCTCGCGGAAAGATCAGAAATACTTACTTGGGAAGATAAGTTATCTGTGCACCAAGATTACTATAATAGAATTAAGAAAAAAATAAGTAGGTATAAATTTGAAGAAATTTTATCAAACTCATGTTTTATAATTAATTTTTTTCATTTAGAAACTCGTAAAAGTAAAATTACAACATAGGACAAACTTGATAAACTTAATAAAAGAGTCCTGGAGCTTATACTAGAAAAGTATAAAGTAAATATAATTACACTTAGTATGCAATTTTTGAATGCTATGATTGAAAACATCAAGTGCCAAAATAAATTTCCAAGCAATCTTTATAATTGTAGCACATTGTATGTGAGTTATTACTTTGTGCACTTGGATTATATTTATAACGTTAAGAAACATACCAAGTGATAGTTTCTAGAACATGCATGCCGTATGTAAAACATTATGTCATGCGCTTGAATTGAATATATAAAAGACTTTCAAATGATTTATTTATTAAATTACCATCGGGCAGTTTTAGTAGTTAAATTATTCATAGTGTTTTAAAATAATTGATATTTACTTTAACATTCTGTACTATATTTATTAATTTATTCTATAATATTCATTTAATAGAAAGAATATATTATACATTATAGCGGTAATATTTTTCATTTTATTAATTTATTTTTGCATTTATTAATATAAATTTTGTTCAAATTTTGATTAATTCGTGTGAGGACATAAAATTATTAAAATGTAAATAATACCCATTTTCATTATGAAAATAGATTGCATTAACTTTAATTGTTTAGTTGGATAATACGTGAAAACATGTGAAATAATTTATTCAAATAATTCAAATAATTCAAAAGGTACTTTAAATTAAAATTCGCAGAAATCAATTCTTCTTATATTTACTTTAAAATACAACGTAATTATATATTTATAAGTAGGGCTCTGTTCGATGTTGAGAATTAAAAATTTTCGAATCACAAAAATTATAATGTACAAAAAATTTACCATCAGATAATTTTGTTTTATACAACAAGACTGGCACAACAAAACCAAATCATAATCGAAAAAAATGACGTCAAAGAACAAGAAAAATACAAATACAGATTTAAAAAGAAAATGTAATCTTAAACGAGAATATAATAAAAAAAGGAAACCTTATAAACTTTATAATTTACAAGAAATATTTGAAAAAGAAATAAAAGTTGGCTGATATTTTGTGGTTTCTGTGAAGAAAATTACCGAATTGTCAAGATTTTAGAAATGAATCCTGATTTTTTTACTGAAAATGAAAAGACTCATTGATTTTCTTTATGATGACATTCACAATTCTATTTTAACGGGAATTCCAGGCATGAATAATCTTAATTTTATTCAATTTATGAAAACTAAAGTGAAAAATCCTGAAAAATTTATTAGAATTTATTTCTACAAAAAATATACCTTTAAAAAATATAAACACCTTTCCAAATATATTAATAAGATTGCAAATAAGAATTAACATTAACTAGATTATTATTACAAAATCAATTAGAATAATTGAAAACAACTAAAACTTATTAAAGAGCAACTGGAAAATCTTTAGAAAAAAGAAATGAATATGTTTTAGAAAAATCTCAAAAATACGATAGTGGAATGCCAATAGGATTTGAATTTAATAGATATCTAAAATTATCGTGCAAACTCTTATGATTATAGATTTTTTTCTTCTTGTTATTTTTTGTACGTTATTACATAAGCACAACAA